TAACCCATGAGAATATAATAAATATTGTAATGGATTGAAAATGTAAACAGAAATCACGATTGAAAAATTACCTGACTGAACTTTAGTCCAAAAATAAAAATTAATTATTAATATAGCAAACAATAAAATAGCATAAAATTGTTAATATAAAGACTCTGAATATAAAACAAGTAATTAGAAAGGATATCACATAGTATTAAATTGATAATTTTAAATTTAATTCACAAATATAAAATAAATTTTTAAAAGAATGCATGACAGCGACACTTGTTTACAAGAAATGCTATGAGAAAACATAATATAAAACCAGAGTGACATATATCAAAAGACAGCTCAATATTCATAGATGAATTTGATATGCATAAATTAGGTAAACGATTAAATGTAGAGAAGATATCTTTAATGAACTGAAGTCAATTATGAAATTTTATTATCAAATGTCAAATTAAATTATAAATTTTAACAAATGTCAAAACTAAAGGTGGCTTTACAAGTACCAGAAAAAAGAACAGAAAATAAGGAATATTTAATAATATGTAATAAATTTATATGTTAAAAAATAAAAGGACATTGTAACAAATGTATTAGGTATAAGAAGTGCAGTGAAAGTGTTGTGAAAAAGGGACGCCCAAAGACTGAAATTTATGTGAAGAGACCTTATAGGAAAATAAGGACTGGAAATTTCTAGAAGCAGGAAAAACAAATGTTTATTTACTAGTTACGACTTGTTTTTTTGGTAAAAAGCTAGAGAGGAGAAATAGCTCAAACAAAATTTACATAATTCAAGAAAAAACGGTTAAGAAGTAAATTAAAACTTACTAGTAACATCAAAAATTGTTTGTCTTCAAAATCCACATAAAGAAAGTCGACAGTGAAGAAAAACTTTGCAACAATTATCAGGCAGTATCCGGAAAGGGATTCCAGTGGCACATAAATGGTACCACAGACATCGTCAGCGTTTCCAACAAGGAAAGAAGTACTCAGTAACCAACAGGTCCCTAAAATTAGAAAGTAAAGTGCACTAAAGTATTAATTCATAGCTATAGCTTACAAATAACAAAGTATTAATACAGTATACCTTAGAAAAGGAAAAATTAATATAACAGGACTTACCTGCACAAATTTACATACTAGCAATCCAAAAACTAGCTTTAAAAACTCTAATATTGAATGAACTCACAACAAGTGTTTAAAAGGACGGCCATCTTAATTTAAACGTCATATCGTATTAATTTAGAATTGTAGATATGCAATACAATAAACGGGCAAGTGGTTAAGGCAGTATCAATCAGAAATAAAACAGTAAAAATTTTGAAAATAAAAAGGAAAAATACCCAGTCCTTGTATTGTAAAAATTGTTGTAGGATAAGTAAAGGTACAGAAAACCCAAAATATTCTTTAGGATTGTTCAAGTTAAAAAATTTCATTTATACGAAGTCATTTCTGATTTAAAGCCAACCAGTTGAAAATTTTGTTTTCTTATAATCTCCTTAATGAATTTAAATAAATATTGTATAAAATTGTAAAAACTCTATTTTCTGGCGTGCTGCATTGAGCGAGTTTAGGAATGAATGACACAGAACCGACTCCTGAGATTCAATTTAAAACAAATATCTGAGAGTGACAACTAGCAAGGGATAAAAAAATTTAATATACGGGGTGAATAAAAAATAAGGTTTGTATTCAACAATTTACAGTTAATTTCAATATAAATAAAAACAATACTCAATACACAAAACTTGACTAAAATTAAATTAAAATTAAAATAAATTAATTTTATTATTAATATCATAACAATATATATCATTATCTACGCTTTAAGAAAAAAATGTGTAATCATATTTATTTCCTCAAAAACATTTCAAACATCTCAAAAAGTTATGGAGTGCTCACATAACATTTTAAATTTGTACCAAATGTATACAATTTATACCAAAGTAAATTCACTTAAATCAATATTTTGACACAACGAAGCGTCCTTTCAAGCACGGCCTGCTCGTTTCTTTACTTCCTGTATATTTCCCCACTTTGAAATCCTCATCCAACAACAACCTTGAAGACACAATTAGGAGTAAACCTTGAAGCCGAGTAATGAGTGTATCTTGCATACTTCCCTACACTTCTCCACAACTGAAGGCGTTTAAGATCATGTGTATTGAATCACTGTAAATTAAATTGTGCGGCGTTAATGGCTAAAATTTAATTAAACGCAATAGCTGCGTAAGACACATCCTGTGTTTATAATAAAGCTATTTCTAAAAGGATAAGTAAATATTAATTAGTTTATGCTAATTTCCCGCACATCCCCATTCAGGTTGGCCACAATGGGATCAGTCAACAAAGACCTATATTGTTGATCGTATGACACAAGACCCACGCAGAACGTGTATTCGGACTCATTCCCTTTATAAACCAGAGCCGGCCGGGTCACGTAGTATTTCTCATAGTTACTTGATATATTAGTACCTCGATATATGTAGACCTGAAACAAAAGGATTCCATTTAGGAAGGCGGAAGAGGTCCCCGCCTGTAACGGAATATATTGGTGGCTTTTGTTAGATATAAAAATGTTATTTTCGTCTGACACGGGTCGAATAATATATCCTAACGTAATATGTGCCCGGAAAAGCACATAATTTCGACTCTTAGGAGAAAATATAGTTTATTAGAATAATTTCCGTCCCACGATATTGGCTAATTAAATAACATAAGAAATATAGAGTGTCGCCTATCAAGAACCAGAACACCAGGTTTTTCTTTATAAAAAGTAGCCTTCTAGATGTACCTGCTGAACTAACTACAATGATTCAGTCGGTATACCATGGCTAACTAATATTTTTACGAACTGTTCGCGAAAATGAATGGACGCAATCTATTTTGAATCTATTTTGATAATGAAGCATGGGATCGTTCTTTAGAGGAGGATATTTGCAAAATATTTTTTTAATTGGTATTCTCTTAATTTTCACAAAATTATCATTTTCCTCAAAGTTACAACGTTGTGAAGTTTAGAAAACAAAATAATATCAAATTAAAATTTAAATAGATATTACTACGAAGAAAAATTAATTTTGCAAATAATAATGAAAACACCTAATTGGATCAATCAATTGAAACAAAAATTACAAATACATGGTGATCCATTAACGATATCGAGCGTACATAGAAAACTAGACGTGCTACGATTATGGGATAAAAATTCTATTAACAAATACGACCAAAAGAAATTGATTTAAAATATTTTCAAATTTGTAACTTCTCCGCTAGGGGGCGCAACTGCTATGACGTTACAGAAAATTGTCCGTTTTTCGCAATTTCGCTTATATAACCTAAGTTGCAAATACATTTTTTAGATACACTATTAAACTCTTCACAAGTTTTGTTTGAACTTTTTTTTTGTTATTACCAAGCAACGCCAGTATGAAGGACGCCATCTTGAAATTTTTAAATTGCCATAACTTCTAAACGCCTTAATCGATTTCAATAAACGATGGCTCATTTTAAAGAATTATCAATAAAATTTATTTTTATGATATAGTGTGCAAAACCGTACTTATCTTATCAACTTCGACGTCACCTGTTACATGAGTGTTGTATAATAATGAAAAAGTAATATTAACGGTTGGTAGAAGGCAGCGCAAAAAAGCAAACGCCTAAGTGGGGCAATTCTGGAAGGAAGCCTAGTTGAAGATAGGGAGTTGAAGTGAGAACAGTGTGCAGAGAGGTACCAAGACGATCGGTGTAGAGTGAAAAATATAGAAATAGTGAAAAATTAAGTATTTAACCGTTGTTGTTAATTGTTCTATGTAATGATTGTGATGGTTATAGATGTTGCATGATAAAAATTCTATGTATGTTTAGCCTTCATTGTCTTACGCTCAGAGGCGTATATTTTTCTAAGATAAAATTGTTACAATTATTATTAACGATTGCTCATTATTTATTAGGTACATGTTAAAACATGTATATTGTCGTGACTGCCCAGATATTGCAATAACGATTTCTTTGGTTCACAACTTGTTTAACTTGCTTTATCATGATTACGTTGTTCAAAAAACGAGTAATAAAACATTTATTGTGCTCACTTTATGTCAAAACGCATATAAGGGCCTTGTTGAATTCACTAACATTTTCGCCCGTGAGGGACGAATCTGAAAAAAAGAATAATTAAATACAAAAAAAGAATTGCTAAAACAGATCTTCCGAAATCTCAACTATAGCTGGATTGCCTCCCGTATGGGACTCCAGTACCTTCCGGCCNAATACACAAAATTTGACTAAAATTAAATTAAAATTAAAATAAATTAATTTTATTATTAATATCATAACAATATATATCATTATCTACGCTTTAAGAAAAAAATGTGTAATCATATTTATTTCCTCAAAAACATTTCAAACATCTCAAAAAGTTATGGAGTGCTCACATAATATTTTAAATTTGTACCATACAATTTATACCAAAGTAAATTCACTTAAATCAATATTTTGACACAACGAAGCGCCCTTTCAAGCACGGCCTGCTCGCTTCTTTACTTCCTGTATATTTCACCACTTTGAAATCATCATCCAACAACAACCTTGAAGACACAATTAGGAGTAAACCTTGAAGCCGAGTAATGAGTGTATCTTGCATACTTCCCTACACTTCTCCACAACTGAAGGCGTTTAAGATCCTGTGTATTGAACCACTGTAAATTAAATTGTGCGGCGTTAATGGCTAAAATTTAATTAAACGCAATAGCTGCGTAAGACACATCCTGTGTTTATAATAAAGCTATTTCTAAAAGGATATAAGTAAATATTAATTAGTTTATGCTAATTTCCCGCACATCCCCATTCAGGTTGGCCACAATGGGATCAGTCAACAAAGACCTATATTGTTGATCGTATGACACAAGACCCACGCAGAACGTGTATTCGGACTCATTCCCTTTATAAACCAGAGCCGGCCGGGTCACGTAGTATTTCTCATAGTTACTTGATATATTAGTACCTCGATATATGTAGACCTGAAACAAAAGGATTCCATTTAGGAAGGCGGATTTAGGCGCCTGTAACGGAATATGTTGGTGGCTTTTGTTAGACCTGATATAAAAATGTTATTTTCGTCTGACACGGGTCGAATAATATATCCTAACGTAATAAATGCCCGGAAAAGCACATAATTTCGACTCTTAGGAGAAAATATAGTTTATTAGAATAATTTCCGTCCCACGATATTGGCTAATTAAATAACATAAGAAATATAGAGTGTCGCCTATCAAGAACCAGAACACCAGGTTTTTCTTTATAAAAAGTAGCCTTCAAGATGTACCTGCTGAACTAATTACAGTGATTCAGTCGGTATACCATGGCCAACTAATATTTTTAGGAACAACAACTAGCAATTTTGTTAATGAAAATCTAATTACGTGACTGTTCGCGAAAATGAATGGACGTAATCTATTTTGAATCTATTTTGATAATGAAGCATGGGATCGTTCTTTAGAGAAGGATATTTGCAAAACATTTTTTTAATGGGTATTCTCTTAATTTTCACAAAATTATCATTTTCCTCAAAGTTACAATGTTGTGAAGTTTGGAAAACAGAATGATAATATCAAATTAAAATTTATATAGATAATTGGATCAATCAATTGAAAAAAAATTACAAATATATGTGGAACCCTTTGCAAGATTTCAGTGTCAGCTGTCCTTATTTTAATTTTTTACTTCTCAAATTTCGTTCGAAATTTCTTTCGTCGCGAAAGGTAAGTTATATAGGTCTAAAAATGATCCCTAAAAAATCTAAAATCCTTGTCTCCCAAGTATTTTCAATGTTCAATTTATGCGTCAATTTTTTTATGCAAACTTAAAATTTTCAATTTATGAAACTTTAAAGCATAGCAGTTACTGAAAATGCCTGAAAAGTAAAAAGTAACCTATTACTGACACTGCTGCGAGTAAAATTATGTAAATTAATTAAGCCGTGCCGAAAATTATGAAAATACGTTATAGGCAGACTCTATCACTTACTATGTTTAATCATTAGTGTAAATAATTAGTTATTTTTTAATCGTCAGGCATTTCTCCAGCCTCCTAGATCTTCGGAAACCTCCTAAACTGAAACAGAAATTTCACTAATTTTGAATACACTGCATTATAAATGAAAATTTTAAATTCTCCAGTTCTAAAAGATGCTGATTAAGATTACGTAACCGATCTTTTTATAAAAGAATTTTTAAAATGATTTTCCCAAACATTTAGTATAAAATATAAAAACAACTTCTCTGCTACAGTTTTCCTACTGTACTTATGTATTGTATTTTATAATTCATCTGCTGTTGCGAAATTTGTTTAATACATAGTTCCATATTAATTACTGTTCTCAACAGTATACACTTCTTTAATGCTTTTTTAATTACAGTTATAGTTTATATTTCTTTAATGGTTAAATAATAGAAATATCCAGTTACGCGTGTTATACAACAGCTTTAAAAGTAATTTGCGAATATTTCCTTGTATTCATAACTCATATTGTATCTTCTCCATATTACTGTTTTTTTATTTTTTGGAAAGAAGTATTAGAACAAGCTGATGTGTTTTCTCGTTAATAAAATTGACATACGATAAAAATAACAAAGTAAAGCAAATTGTTGTTCAGAAGTTAAATAACATATAGGTACTAGGTCCATTCAGACAATAACCGAAATTTTTTAATTTCGCGCTAATGGAACCTAAAATTTTGCATGAAAGTGGGGAAAACTTTCACGGAAACGTTTCAACTTTTGAAACAAGCTTACGGAGATGATGCTTTGGGTCGCACGCAATGTTAAGAATGGTTTTCACGATTTAAAAGAGATTGTCAAAGATTTGGTCATGAAAATCGCCGATTGACTGTCGGAGAAATTGCAGCACCGAGTTGCAACAAAACTTGTTCCTCATTTGATGACCGAACAGCAAAAAGAAAATCGTGTGTACGTTTGTCGGGAACTCCTTAAACAATCCAATGACGATGAAACATTAATCCAAAGGATCATAACGGAATACGAGAGCTGAGTTTACGACTATGACATTGAGACAAAAATTAAGTCATCACAATGGATTCGCAGAGGATCTCCACGCCCCAACAAAGCACGTCAGTCTCGATCCAATGTCAAAATGACACTCATTGTTTTTTTTCCGACTATGGAAGTGTGCATTTTGAATTCTCGCCACAAGGTGAAATAGCGAACCGTGTGTACTACCAAGGGTTTTACAACAGTTACATGAAAAAATCCGCATAAAGAGACCAGAGTTATGGCGAGACAACTCGTGGCTCTTGCCCCATGACAATGCAACCGCACACTCAGTTTTGACGATTAGCCAGTTTTGTGTCAAAAATCAGATTACTGTCCTCCCTCACCGTCCATACTCTCCAGAAATGGGACCTTGTGATTTTTTCTTATCTTCGAAATTAAAATCAGTGCTAAAAGGGCATCGTTTTCAGGCTATTAATGACATCAAAGCAAATTTATCACAGGCTTAAAACCATTTCAAATGAAGCTATCCAGGACTGGGAACACAGCTGGGAAAAGTGTGTGGATAGGGGAGGGGAGTACTTTGAAGGAAACAAAGACCAATAATGTATAAAATTGGTCACAAGGTTTAAAAAAATAAAGGTTCGGTTATTTTCTGAGCAGACCTCGTACATGAAATATTTACAATAAAAGTATATGTATTTTTTTGTTAAATTACGAGTCATTGTAATATATAATCATTTTTAGTTTATTTTACATTTATAAATATATCTTTACCTACAAGGTAAGTTTGTAAAGTTGTTGGATTTTTTTCTCAGCAATCAAAATGTTTTAAGAGTAATATTTTTCCAGTAATCAACACTACAAACTCAAGTCTTACGTTAGCCAAAGTGACAAAAGGTCAACATTTTTTATCAAGGTAGTAGTCATCAATAGTCAAATTAAGATACACCCTGTATATATTTAAGAAAGTTTAAAACCAACCTCGTAATAGACCCTGTCGATATAATAGGGTACGAACGGTTCCGACCAATAGATCAGGAATGCTCCGTCTGGATTTGACGTGATTCGAACTTTATAGGGTTGAAGGAAATTCGGGACTTTGTATGTGACAATGTCTGTGGTTTGCGATCCTGGAAAGTTAGTGGATACTTTGATGTCGAATCTAGCGCCGTAATTCGCCTTAAAATGGTAAACGGAATCCACTCGTTTGCTGCCGGGCAGAGTTACGATGGTATACCGAGCCGAACTCCTCTCGAAAGCGGATATCTGAAACAATGATATTTAATCTTCAATATACCTATGCAATATCAATAAATGCTATTATTAATACAATGAAAGTTTTCAAAGGACGGTTTCCTAAATAAACAGCAGATGAAGGTTATCTACAATTTATCCAATTAACTTTCAGAACGTATGTGCCATTAAAAATAGAATTAGAACTACCAAAGAAAGTTACAACAAAATATTTACAGATTTCGAGAAAAAAATGTTTTAAGTTTTTATGTTTAAAAGTACCACATAGTTGGGCGACTGTAGCGTGTTTATTAAATTGTATCTTGTTTTGTTTTTTGTGCCCGCCCCTTCAGGTATTAGCATTTGATTTGACAAATGACTACTTATTCAGAATTACTATGGTTTTGAAAGTGATTCTATTGCTGAGATTTATTGTTTACATCTTACAAGTGTGCTAAATGACTTACGCATAAACAACACACAATTAATTAATATTGTTTTAATTAAGAAGCAAGGCAAAATGCATTAGCAGAACGTTTTCCTTGTATAAAAGTACAGAATTCTGTTAGCTTTGCCGAGGTGATTCAACGAGGGCTTAAAAGGAATTTTTGGACCAAATCGTGGGCGAAGTGGAAGTTGTCTTCATTTATATCATATCGTAGCAGCGGAGGAACAAATTTTAAATATTGTGGAAAAAAATCTCTGTGTAAGTACAAGGCAAATAGTTGGATTTTGCCTTGAGTATCACAATCCACAGTGTAGCACATGTTACACGATGCTCAAATGAATCCCTATCATATGCAGCGAGTCCAAGCATTAGTATCAGCTGAAAAAAGCTCTAACTCAGCTGAAGAAGAGATACGAAGTTGGTTAAATTACCTGCAGAAATGTTGTACAGTTTTATACGATTTTAGAGATTATGCAAACAAACTGAAGACAGACAGAAGAAGAAACTTGATTTTTCATATTATTTTCATTTATATCTATTTTATTATTGAAGGTAGTAGAACCAACAGTATGTACGTCATATTCTCTATATGTTAAAAATTTTCCTGTTCCTACTGAATCACCATACAGTGAGTCCAAGATAAGAATGGGATAGCATTAGGAACTAGGAAACGGAGATATGGGGTGGCTCAAATTAGCAAAAAGTTGTTTTTTTATACCTAACAATATGCCGTTTAGAAAGTTTTAAAATTCCGGGTACCTAGTTCCGGAGATATCCGGAAAAATCCGAAATTTTGAAAAATCGTTTTATTTTTTCTGGCTTTATTTAAAAACAAATTTTAAAATAAATTGCATAGGTATTTTCATGGCCACTTTTTTGTTCTATCCAATGGCGTCAACATTTTTGCAATGCGACATTTCGTCTTCGAGAGACCATCATCAGGTTATTTTTTTTTAAGTACGTCGCTGCTATTTTTAAGACAAAATCTAGTCATTTTTAATTCTGAATTAGAGATGAGAATACTATTGTAATCGCTTAAAAAGGTTTTTAGCTTGTTTTAGCTATCATTTAAAAATTTTTCCTGAGTACAGCTCTGAACGCTTTCAAAATATCTATTGAAGGAAGTCATAACAGTATAAAAGTCAAGACAGCGCAAAATATCTAATATTTTTTTTAATCGATAATTTAAAAAATTTTACCTAATAAAAAAATAATACGAATTTATGAAATGTTTTATTATTTCTAACTAGTATTCCTAATAGTAGTAAAAAGAAATTGTTGGATATTTTGTACTGTATTAACTTTTATACTGTTATGACTTCCTCCAATAGATATCTTGAAAGCGTTCAGAGCCGTCCTCGGAAAAAATTTGAAATTATAGCTAAAAAAGCTAAAAACCTTTTTAAGCGATTATAATACTAATATCATCAATTCAGAATTAAAAATGATTTTGTCATAAAAATAGCAGCGACGTATTTAAAAAAATTAACCTTGAGGGTTGCTTTCGCTGTACAGCAAAAATAAAACGCTCTCAACGGTACAAATAAACTATTTTTATTGAAAACTAAGCTTGTGAAAAAAGACGTGTTGTCGGTTCGGGTGTTTGCTGGAGAGTCAGTCCTCGTGTGAGAGTCGCTCGCAAAAGTACCTGGTCCTTGGCGCCAATCTGCCGGGGTAATCTTCCGGGAACCCTGGTGCGTCCGGACGTCAGGATGGCGCTATTGACGTTGTACTTAAAAATGGGTCACTTGCAGCATGTGTACCCACAACCTGATGATGGCCTCTCGAATACGAAACGTTGGATTGCAAAAATGTTGACGCCATTGGATAGAGCGAAAAAAGTGGTAATGTAAATATGCAATTTATTTTAAAATTCTTTTTCAAATAAAGCCGGAAAAAAATAAAATGACTGCAAAATTTCGAGTTTTTCCAGATATCTCCGGAACTACCCGGAACTTTAAAACTTTCTAAACGGCATGTTGGTATAAAAAGACACAACTTTTTTCTAATTTGAGTTACCCCGTATCTGTTACCGTTTCCTAGATCCTAATGCTATCCCGTCCTTATCTTGACACACTGTATATTTACTCATTACTATATTATGATTTTCTATAAACGTCGTATTGAACTTTCACATCATAATATGAGACGAAGTTATTAGTTCATTGGGTTAACAAATTTAGGTCAACCAATTTCGACAGAGGTAAATCAAAAGCAAATAAAAATATAACATTGTCTTTAAGAGTACCAG